TTGTATAATTGGACCACTTCAAGGGTCACCTTTTCTAGAAATATGAAGTTGCTAGATTGCCCTCATCAAAAGTGTTACTTTGAAGTTTTATTTCCTTGCTTCAAAAAATAAAATTGTTTGTGTACTTTAAATTTATTATATTCACATGATGTCTTTCAAAGACAATCAGTCACATAATAATATTTGTATATGCTGCAATATTCTGCAAATTAATAAAATATAACTTCTTCAGGAAGTTAACAAAATTAACATAAGACAAAATATGTTTCTTCAATAATATTTAACAATAAAATCACCATAAAAGAAATAAACAAAATTATACTAGAATAACATAGAATAATAAAAATAATTAAGGAATGAATTTAATTAATATAAAATAAAATAATGAGAATCATTAATTTAATTATGTATTTGCCATTTCAAGAGCAATAACCAACAAAATGACATTAGGCTTCTTTTCAATGACATGAGATTTTATCATTTTTTTGCCTTTATTTTATTTAGCCATATTTATTTCATTAGCCATCTTTATTTGGCTTCTTTCCTTTGTCATGATTTGACCCAACATTGAATTTTCTATCATCCCTTCAAAGGTTATATCATTACTTGTACTCATGGCCCTCAAAATAGCTAGAGTCTTTCATAGATTTGTCTTTTGCTTTACGCAATATTTTTGAACCAACAGATTTGAAATTATAATTATTTTCACTTACTTCAATGATGTGAAAATGTGGCTTTTTAACGTTTGATATAACATTATACTCAAAAATCATGCAATTAATAATAAAAAGTAATGATATAATATCGCAAATATCCAATAAGGATATTTTTAAATACTCACTACCACTATAGGAATAGGAGGATATATGTTTCTCAAATATTATTTCACCCATGCTATTTTAGGAACAAGATAATATATGTTATCTAATATCTAATATTTTATTTCTTTTTAATTAAAACTCATTGCTACTTCAGGAGCATGAGACACTCACTACTACTTCAGGAGTAGGAGAATATATATATTTCTCAAATATCCATTACCATTTAAGGAGTATAAACAAAAATAAAATGAAGAATTTAAAATATTTTACCTAAATTAAATTTTTAAAATTATATATTGCTGTTGTATATTATATTATCATAACTGATGTTGTGCATCACATGCTATTAGAAAGAGCCCATTTGCATACTTCAAAAAGTTGCCAAAATAACAATTATAAGTTTAAACATGCAACCCAAAAGTCTAGTAAACGATATGCATCAAGTATTACAATAAGCCCCACACACCACTAGCCATTGTTTTCGGCCATTAATATAAAAGAAAAATAAGCATTAAAAAAAATTCTGCTTTATACACAAGGCATATTCTTAATAAGAGCTATAAATAATTAGTTCAACAATATTTGAAACGATTCTAATAACCATAACTATAAATCATAAATGTGAATATAATAATAACATTAATGCTGAAATGAGACGACAACTTTAAATCATGAATGTAATAATGTGCTCGTAAATGCGGAAATGGTTTCAAATAACTTTATAACAATTTTCTTTAAACAATAGTTTTAAATCATTTTAATTGCCATTAATTCCTTATATACATTAAGAAATAAACTATCACGATTATAATCCTAATCACAGGATGAAACATATTTGGAATTAAATTTTAGTACAAAACACATATGTTGAAATGTTGATTTTGATTTCCTATTTATTTTGTATTAAACAAATTTATAAATATTTTAAGGGATATGTTATTATACCTATTTTTTTCTATCTGCCACTCTAAAAGACCATTAGATAAGAATCTTAAATAATATTTATTATTCTCTCTCTTCTTTAAATTATGATATAACAGTGTTGGAGAATAGTAGACAATAAAAAGTGTAGGTAGAATAACTTATATTGCTAAGACACTAATGATTATAACATTCCAGCTAGCTTTTACAATTGCAGTGAAATACTAAAAGTAATGAATTAAATCTAAACAGAAATATGAACTCCCCCTAGGGCAGTTTATTTACCAGTTCTTTATTTTATTTTGATTCATTAATAATAATAAAAAATAGAAAATACTATTTTTGCTATTTAGAAATATAAATAAATAAAAATGGATCGAAAAACAAAAAACTCTTTTCGCATTCTATCATCATGAGAGGATAATAGAGATAAATTTCTTTCTTTCTATTCCAATTAGGAAATGTAAATAAGTTTACTTTTTTTAATTGACGGTAAACTAAAATCCATAATCCATTTGAAAAGTTTGACTATTTTCCTTTCCTTTTTAATATATTTTCAAACAAATTTATGTTATTATTATCGTTTTGAAAGAGGGGCGTGAGTCTAGAAAGATCAGACAGAGTAATTCAAAACTTGCTGTTTGAAATAGACTCCAAACCCATGTTCCACCATCTCTCTCGTTCCTCTTGGCTTCTCTCCTCCACCGTCATAGTTGCCACCTTCGTCCCATAGGCCTAGCACGCCACCGTTAGATTTGGTCTGATTCCTCCCAGCACTAGCGACCTGCATGGGTTCAGCTGCGATGATAGCCCGTTTTCACGTGTTTGTTCCGGCCTCCTCACCTTGCAACGCAAACTCACCGCCGGCTCCAAACCACCATCTCGTTCACTGTCATCGTGGACTCTCCATTCACGAAAACCAATGGTATAGGAGCTCTGGCGAGGCTCTCGATTTGGTGAGTCGTGCATATTTTGATCTTCATTTTGATCTTTGAATCTGAGGCATCAGAATCACATCATTCTGCAAGCGTTTACTCAAATTAATGAATCCCCCAAAAATTTGTCCCTGTATCATAGAGTCCCACTTCAATGTTATAGCTTCTCACTAAAATAAAAATATTAATATTAGTGAATACCTCAAAAATTTGTTTGGCATAGTATAGTCCCACCTTAATCCTATAGCTTGTCACTAAAATAAAAATATTAATATATAATTGGGATAAGATATTGTTACTACCAAATAATGTTACTATCATATATTTTCGTCAATCAACGGTTACAAATTAATAATTAATTAATGAGTTTGATTTGTGAAAATAATAACCATTGATTGACAAAAATCAACGGTTAAGATATGATAGTGATATTGGTTAGTTTGATTTGTGAAAATAATAATGATTGATTGACGAAAATCAACGGTTAAGATATGATAGTGACATTGGTACTAACATTATTTGATAATAACAATATCCTATCCCTATATAATGTAAAATAATTTGTTTGAGGTATAGAAAAAGTATAATCCATCTGTAATTTTTGGTTGTATATTCTTGATCTTCCATGTTGTTCTTAGATCCAAGAGTGGTGGTTGGAAAGTTTCCTCCTTTTTAGTTGGTAACCTCTGCAACTACAAGATGTTGATGAAAAATACTGGTGCAAGATGTTTGCGCGATAACAAGGTTTGGGAAGGGAACTACTAACATTATTTGGTAGTAACAATATCCTATCCCTATATAATTTAAAATAATTTGTTTGAGGTATAGAAAAAGTGTAATCCATCTGTAATTTTTGGCTGTATATTCTTGATCTTCCATGTTGTTCTTAGATCCAAGAGTGATGGTTGGTAAGTTTGCTCCTTTTTAATTGGTAACCTCTGCAACTACAAGATGTTGATGAAAAATACCGGTGCAAGATGTTTGCGTGATAACAAGGTTTGGGAAGGGAACAAAACGATGTTGAATTTTGATAGAGTGCTAGGTAGAATTTGGTTTGACCAGGTAGAGCGCATTCGTGCTAGAGTAAAAGATTTGAGGGAAATAAGACAGAGTATGATGCAAGAACCTTATCATTCATGGATGATCCACATTCTTACAAGAGTCATGTCCTTGTATAGGACTTTGAACATAATAAAGGAATAAATACATTGAATACACTATTAATATTGCGGTTACATAATACACCAAAAGACATGGACAATCAAAGAGTCATCCACATATTAACCTCTACACACACAGATATACATATATATACATATATATATATATATATATATATATATATATATAAGGGTTTGCATTTATCATTTCACATGACACAAAAAAATTTCTTACACACACAACATTTCGTGGGGCCCACACTTTTTGAAGCAAACAAAAAAAAAAAAACTACGGCACACAAAATGAATCTCTATAACATTAGACAATCACTTTTCCTACAATATAACTCTTATAAAATCCATATATATATATATATATATAGGGTTTGTCTACTCTCATGTTGTAGGAGAGAGCATATCTTATGCTAAGACACAAAATAATGGGACCCATCACTAAAAAAGAGAAAAGAAAATAGCAGCACACTTGTTGAAGTGTCTATGACATAAGATAATGGTCGCCTACAATATAAGACTATTATTTCCCATATATATATATATATATATATATATATATATATATATATATATTTATATATATATATATATATTGAGGAAACATTAAACTATATATTTTACAACACTTATTGTTATATAGAAAAAAAGTTTTTTATTTTTTTTAAAAAAAGTTAAATTCATTTGTAGGTACTTAGCTCCTTGTGATTTAAAAATATATAATTTATTTCTTGTACTTCCATAAATTCCTAATTATGTCTTGTTAATAAAATATTATTAGGAATTTATTACTAACTTCAACGATAGAACTTCATTTAGAAAAAATATTTCAAATCATGAAGATTCAATTAATATTTTTTTTTTGAGAATTTATAATTTGTACAAGCATGATGAGTTATTAAATTTAGCTTATTGTTAAAAAATTATGATAATAATCTCATGGTAAAAATCCGATTACATTTTTTTGAAATCATACAAACATAACTCTAAACTTTCAAAATATAGAAAATTAATGAAAGATTTTCTAGAAGTTTAATTTAATTTAACCTTCAAAAGAAATGCCAAGCGTAAAATCGTAAATAAGGCTTCCAGAGATGAATTTATAATCGTATATGTTCAATTAGGTCGAGCCCTCACAGTACTCACAGTTGGTGAGCTTCGTTCATAGCGTTGAGAACCAGAATCGTTTCATCTTCCATTTCCGGCGCATGCCGTAGATAGATCCAAAGTGCTGCTCTGTAATTGAACTTTATTGGCGTATAGATTCTCATTCACAATCTCAGCAACACTTGTTTTTTCTTCTCTCCGTTCAGAAACCCTAATTACCAGAAGATGTCGGGTGGTTTCTTTCGAGTAAGTTTAGCGCCACTTTAATCGAAGCTAAGTTATCTGTAAAGTTCTCAGATCTTAGGAACGCTATGTTGATTGGTTCTGCTGGTGCATTTTACTATGCTTATGAACATTTCGTGATGAACTTTTGTGTATAGGGTACATCTGCTGACCAAGACACTCGGTTTTCGAATAAGCAAGCGAAGCTGCTGAAATCGCAGAAGTTTGCGCCGGAATTGGACCATCTGGTTCGGAATTTTTTTTTTTGGAGGGGGGGGGGGGGGGGGGGGCCAAATATTGGTATACGTAATTTAAAGGATTGAGATGTGGAAGAGCATGATATATTTAATGCCTGAAAAATGGCTTGTAGGTGAACATGACGAAGGTGAATATGGAAGTAATAAAGCCGTGGATTACGAGAAGGGTAACTGAGCTTCTTGGGTTCGAAGATGAAGTGCTTATTAACTTCATACATGGTCTTCTGGATGCAAAGGTATTTTATCCCTAAATTAATAGTTTTTCACTGAACGTTGATTATTTTTTCATTCTTGTTTGTTCATCCCAATTTGTTGTTGCGTTTAAACTTTAAAAGGTGTTTCGAATATTGAATGATGTGTTTTTGTACATTACATTTATTTACCCGAAGTTAATTTCCTTTTTGGTTGTGATAATGCAATTTTCTTTGTCCTTGAAATTGCCATCATCAATTTTCATGCACTTTTTGCTCTTGTTAGATTCATAATAGTTTTTTTTTTATAATACCTCTGCTTTTTCTGTTAACTGTTTTGGCCACATGTTATTTATTACGACACAGGAAGTCAATGGGAAAGAAGTTCAGATACAAATTACTGGTTTTATGGAAAAGAACACTGGAAAGTTCATGAAAGAGCTTTGGACATTGCTTCTCAGTGCACAAAAAAATGCCAGCGGTGTTCCTCAGCAGTTCTTGGATGCAAAAGAAGAAGAAATCAGGCAGAAGAAGGTGCACTTGAATCACACTATGCCTTTGGTCATGCCTTTTCTTTTTAGCTTTTTTTGGGTGATTTCTGACAAAGCTACATCCTATGTGTGGTTCAGATTGAAAATGATAGGATAACAAGCGAAATTCAGAGGAAAAAAGATACGGAAGATAGGGAGGACATGCAAGAGAGGTCGAAGAAATTGGTAATACTACTTAATACATGCTGGACTTGCATCTTATAGAGCTGAGTTTTTGGTTTTAACTTTCGTTTGTGTTTTCATGGCATTCAGCTAGCTTCTGCAATTATTTGGGTTCATGTCCTTTACCTCAAACTACTGTAGGACGGTGGATTTGATGCGAAGAATACTGATACCACTTCAGACCCAACCTTGAAGTTGAGGGATTCAGAAGACTACATTCAGGATGGGAAAGCAACTGACAAGAGAAATGGTGTGAGAGCAAAGAGCAGGTTTTATTTTAAAAAGCATCCTTTTTAAGCAATATTTTTGTTAATTTTTATTTTTCATTTTTTTGTTTCTTAGTGGGTGAAACCTTGAAGGACTGTCTTAAATGGGTTTTCAATTTTTTAGTGTGGGTGGATATGTGCATTCCATTAAGTTAATAAAGTGATTCATGTTGGGAGTGGTTTGGCATTGTTTTGAATAGACAACCTAGAACCCTGATTATAATAGTATCTGAAAGTATTAGGGACCCTTCATGTTAACAGGATGTTTTATTTGCATTTTTAATGTTGGCTGACAAGTTGACAAACTTCTTTCCTAAACCATACATACAGTGTGCTAATAGGGCTCTAATTTTACCACAATGACACAAAAATGACCAAAAATATGGTCACTCCAAAATTACACAAAATTGTCAAATAAATTTTAGTCCATTGTAATATTTTACTGTTTGGATATTGTCTCAGATATGCATGCTTTTTGAAGTTTCTTAGGTGATGCCATAAGCATTTATCTTTCAACTTGTTTGGGTTAAGCTTTATTATTTGAATGTTGGGTTTGGCTTAATATGTTTAATGGGTGTTTTGGTGGAGGAATCTTATCCAGCACGGCTTAGCTCTTTGAAACTTCTTAGTTGAGCTCAGGACTAATTAGCTGTACTCTTTTACAGGTTTTCTAGGTCCCCTTACTCACCTGCAGTCTCAACTTCACCTCATCGGTAACACCATTACAAACCAACACTTTTTAATGCATTTCCTGTCTTTTATACTGTGAAACTCTGAATAGATGGTATTTATTATCTTTTGCAGAGGCTCACCTTCAAGGTCGTTGAGTAAATCATTTTCAAATTCCAGAAGTTATTCAGGGTATGCTTTTATATATGCTAACTTAGTTTCTTTGACTTGATTAATCCCTGTTGCTTTTGCCGTTCATTAGCCTAATCTGATGGGGTATTATTTGTGCAACTTAACAAGCTAATGGATTTTAGTTTTCTTCCCCATCTCCTATTGTTGTCATTAATTAATAGAATTTTGCATATTTAATCTTCCTTTTGGGTTTGTGAAGTTGTACAAATGAGTTTTTGTTATTTAGTGGTAGACACAGGTCAAGGAGTATATCTGTGTCACCAGAAGCTCGAGGACGCTCTCTTTCTCCTAAAAGGATTCGTCGTTCTCCACAAAGACAATCTATTTCTCCTCCTCGCAGGCATTCACCATGGCGGTCTCCTCCTCGCTGGGGATTATCTTATTCAAGGCAAAGATCTAGATCTCGTTCAAAGTACAGATCACCATCTCCTGTGCGACGTCGAGTGTATTCTCCATTTCACCGCAGTTCACCTTCTTTTCGCCGACGCAGAACACCCTCTCCTGTAAGAAGACGAAGATTGCCTTCTCCAATGCGTCATCATAGATCACCATCACCTGCAAGACGGCGAAGGTCACCCTCCCCTTGGAGACGAAGATCTCCGGTCATGCGGCGCAGGTCACCTTCACCTGTGCGCCGAGGGCCTCCAATACATGCAAGACGTAGATCACGCTCCCCCCTGCAATCCCCCTCTCCTGTACAGCGAAGGTATGGGAGTAGAACTCCTCGACGCAGGTCTCCATCTCCTTCACAGCATAGATCACCTGTTTCTGGAAATAAAATATTGTCAAGTCCCTCCCCACGTAGGTCTCCTTCTCCAGATGAATGGAGTTCTCAATCCCCCCAAAGGCGTGTATCTCCATCTCCAGTTAGGAGAAATTCTCCAAGACACCAAAGAACTCCTCTGCAGTCTTCTAGGGGGAGAGTCAGGTATAGTGTGACGGTGGAATATTTGCATATCTTGTTTGTCTTGAATGTGCATGATTTTATTGTGATTCTAATTAAACTGTTTAAAAGAAGTATTTCAGATGTAGAACCATTTATACAATTTTGAAGTATCTGTAGACTTTAGAATCAGCAAAATTTTGATGTCTCTACACCAAATCCTGTGTGAAACTGCATATTTTGCAGAATGATAGTTTTAACTAGTTAGTTCTTGCAAGGGAAATTTATAAAATTGTGGGGTTACCTGTGTTGCAGAACACAAGAAAGATTGTCACCTAAGGCTCATCAACCTGCTAGCCCTCTGCGATCTGTACAGAGAGATAAGAATTGGAACTCTTCAAAATCCATGCCTGAGAAGTCTCCACTTCAGTCAGTATCTCCTCATCCACGAAATAGGACTGGCAGTGAAGATAGAAGGTGATTTTCTTGAATTCTCATGCAATGTTTCTAATCATTATTGCACAGAGTTGGTATGTTTATACATTTTTCTCAATGTGTAGTGCACATGAGAGCCCTCAGAAGCAAAGAGGAGAGAAGTTGACCAATGAAAGAAGCTTGAGTCGACCTGAGAAACCAGGAACACAAAAACTTGGTCAGTACAGCACTGAGACAATTGAAGGAGCAGAAGAAACATACTTTTCTAGGTTTGTGTATTAACTGGATAGCTTTTATTTACTTGTGGAATGTAAATACTGTGATAACATCTGTTCAGTTTTCTGCACTCTGTTTTATCTAATTATTTTCTCTGCCTCTTTGATAGAGAGATCAGGGATCCTAAATCAAAGTTATCACAAAAGAAATCAAAATATTCATCCCCTGTTAGTAAGAGAAATGGTTCACCTGGAAAGTTTCATCACAAAGAAGAATTCTCTTCTGAAAGGGCAGCTGGTCATCTGGCTTCTGAATATCGTGGTTATGATGATAACATTGATTTGAGCAAGAAAGATCGGGAGATAAAAAGGTAATTTGGTTGTCTTACTGCAGTTATTCTAACTAATTTTAATGCACGTAAACTGCATAGATTTGTCTGATAATGCATACTTTGTTTGACAGTTATAAATCTTCTGGAAAGGTGGATGAAACTCCAGCTCAACAGAAGTCGCCGGTGAATAAAGAATCTTTTTCCTGTGAGAAGGCTCATGAATCATGTGTTGTTGATATTAAAAAATCTGATGACAAGGATCATTCCCATTCAAACCATGGCAAGGATAGTGATCATCACCGCAAATCAGACACAACTCGAAGTTTGGTTGGAAAAGTTGATTGTGTCAATCAGAGTGTTTCAAATGATTCTAGTTCTGAGGAAATTGGCAAGCATAAAAGAGAAGGAAAGGATAGGAGAAAGCATAAAAGATCTGAGAGAAAATTCGTGACTTCGGATGAAGATTATAGTCATGATTCTGAGTTAGAGGACAGGAAAGAAGCCAAGAGGAGGAAGAAGGAGGAGAGGAAGTTGCGGAAGGAGGAAAAGCGTAGAAGACGTGAAGAGAGACGACGCAGAAGGGAAGAACGGCATGCAGAGAAGCTGAAAATGAAGAGCAAAACAGATGATTGTATTTCAGACGTCGAGGAAACTGAAAGAGCTGGTTCTCATCGAAGTGATAATGAAGAGACAGGATTTGAGCAAAAGAAGCTTGAGATTGAGTTACGGAATAAGGCACTTGAATCCCTTAAAGCAAAGAGGGGCATGAATCACTAATTATGACTCATTTCAGTTTTAAGTTGTTTTATCTTTAAATCATTGTCGGCAAATATCTATTCAGCTTCTTTTGGAAACTTAAGCTTTATTTATGCAGACATTGCCCCTCTATTTACTGGTAATTTTTGTCTTCCCTTAATTGGGAGTTCCCCTTTTTTGGGTGGTGTATTTGGGGTCTTTTTTTATAATTTTTTAGCTTATCTTGCTTTTGTTGTAGTTTATGCTTTTGTTTGTTTGTTTGTTGGCTGGTTGGTTGGTTTTTTCTCTCCTTGTCTTGGTACCCACTAACTTTGATGTGGTTGGTGGTAGTATTGACTAGTTTTTTTAAGACAATATTACTGCTGAAGGACTTCTGAATATTATTAACGAGGTTGGTACTAAATTAGCATTCTGGTCATTTGATAGATGAAATTTATCGCAATTCTAGATGACTTGCTGAGCGGACCTTGTGCAGATCTACGTTTTGAACTTCAGTTCAGGTGGAATGTCTCATTCCTTTTACCATTTTAGGCTGCTCCCGAAGAACTTCATCTATAGATCAATAAGCTGTTTCATGTATATAGTTAGTCCTTCCTCACGGTATATTTGTCAAAGCTTTCTGTAATGATGGCATCTCGAGAGTTGTTCCTGGATTATGTTCTGGAATTCTCCCTAAGAAAAATGCTAGAAACACATTTTTGTTTTTTTTAACACGCCAATATTCTCTACATTTGGTTGCTATGCTGGCCCTACTAATAGAACGTGGGTCTAGGATATTTAGTGGGGCTAGCATGAGATTTCACCAAATAATAGTGTGTTGAAAAAAGTGTTAATAGCATTTATTTTCTCCGCATTGCTATATTTTTATGGATCCATCCTGAGTTTGACATTTGATACAGCCGCATAACTTGAACGGATCTGTTGTCATGTATGCACTTAACTTTTTGTGACAATATATGAAAATATATTTGAGCATCATGGTGATTTTGCTTTACAGTGTAATTAATTGTTTTTACTGTTCTTGCTTTGATGTAATGTTCAGACCCTGTATTTTTATCGTTCTGGTCTGGGTTTGCCTGTCTAGAATAGGAATATCAATCCTTTTAAGTTCATTCCACCATCGGGTTGGGTGTTAGTATAGCTTTATACTGGTGTGGTTAATAAATGGTGTTCTTTTCTTGAACTGGAACCGACGTTCCGTGGCATCATTGATAACCCCAAGGGCTGATTACACTCTCATCTTGTGAGGTTAGGTATTATCAGGCTTGATTTTACTCGTTTGAAATATATATATATATATATATATATATATATATATATATATATATATATATATATATATATAGGCTTTAACGTTTCTAAAGTGAATGTAGATAAGTTATCTACATTCGCTCCCAAAACGACGTCGTTTTGGGTTGAAAAATTAAAAAATTATAATGAAAAAAATTATTATAACCCTAAAATAAATTATAATTACAAAAATACCTTAATTTCTGTTCAAAACGACGTCGTTTTGGGCTCACTGTAGATAAGTTATCTACATTCACTGTAGAAAAAGTGAATCCATATTATTAAAAAATTTGAGCCCTTAGATATAAGTGAGATCAACTGATAAGATTGAAAGTGTAACTTACACGGGTGTAAAATGATCCTAACCCTATATATATATATATATATATATATATATGAAGAAAAATGTTTCTGCAGTCAATGCAGATAAATTATCTGCATTATTCCCAAAACGACGCCGTTTTGTTATTAAAATCTTAAAAAATTATAAATATAAAGACTATTATAACTCTGAAATAAATTAAAATTACAAAAATACCATATTTTCGCCTCAAAACGACGTCGTATTGAGCTTACTACAGATAACTTATCTGTAGCTGCAGAAAAAACGAACCTATATATATATATATATATATATTCCGGCGGAAGTAGTGTAGTGAATAGTGATGTAGCATAAAATAGAAGTATGTGTGAATGTGTAATTATTTTGAAGGTGTCAAGGATAATCACTTGGGCTTCAGAGACGTGAGTGCAATTATTTCTGATCCTAATTATGCTTGCTACAAGTTGCATTAATAAAAAACCTATATAAGATCTAATGAAGAACCGGAAAAAAAAAAATAGGATCCTCCAAAACTTGTAAAAAATAAAAGAGTAAGTCATTAACTGGGATTTTTTTTTTTTTTTTTTTTTTTGAGTACTATGAATGAGATTACGTAACTCAGTACATCTTTTTCTTAAAATGAAATTTTTTTGTCCCTGCTTTTATTTTTATTTCTCTCTATGTCTGAAACTTTTACCCTTTTAGGAAAGGATGAAGATATAGAGTACCGAAAATCCTCTCCATTAACTGATGTCCTGCCTCATACACGTGTGATATTTTTGTAGGTATCTGATTATGAGAAAGAAATTGAGATAATGAAAACTGTAACAAAAGAAGAATATCTTGCTTCTTAATAAATCCCATTTATAAAGGGATAATGCTATTTAGAGTTGTTAACGAGTCGAGCCGAGCCGAGTTTTGCTTTTAAAAGGCTAAGCTTGTATTTAAATGGGTCAGTCTTACCAAGTCTATTACCTGTTATAAATATAATTATTGGCATGTGGTCTATCTTATTTACAAAAAATAAAAGCCTCTGCTTTAGCCTGTTAGTCTGTTTTAAAAAAAATAAGACAATAAAAATTTATCCAAACATAATATATAATCAATAACACTAGTAATTCCATAAATATTCATAAATTCAAGGTATATCCAAATAGCATAATATAGAACAAAATCATTCAAAAACTATCTTTAACCAATAATTTAAATGGGATGAAATCGATTGAGGAGAAAGAGAGGGCAATTACAAGTAGTATAAAAAATAAAAAATAAATAAATAATAATATACTAGGTCGGCCTGAGAGGCTCTAAGGCCGAGCTTTTGAATTGAAGCCTGAGGCTTTTTTATTAAACGAGTTTTTATACAAGTTCTAACCTGATGCCAACAATCAATTTTAGACATATAAATGCGTACCTTCACAAGCCGAGCCAAAGGCCCCTGGCTCGTTTAGCACCCCTAATGCCGTTAGTATTTTCTCTCAAAATGCGAACTCTAATGAAAAAAATCCAAAATGTCAAATCAAACTACACAAACCAGACCCAAAATGCATCAAATCAAACTGAGACTTAGATTAAATCAAAATGCATAATTTCTATCTCGTCGTGTTCTTTTATTTTAGTGCAAGGGAATTTTTTTTTTCTCTATGTCCCATGTGATTCTTTCATTTAGGGAATGTCATTTGGACAAAAATTTAATTTTTATTTCTCTTTTTTTCTCTCTCCTTAATAGTTGTCTGATTTTGATTGGTCCGGACCATTAAGTTAATGGTAGTCCGGGACCACCAAAATTCCTCTCCAGTCCAAGAGACTCAAATCTTTTGTATTCGTCCGCATTTTTTCCATCGTTTCCACCACCTCTTGCCTTTCCTACGCTAGCCTCACCTGCTTCTCCCGCCCCGAAACCCCTGCCCAAAGAAAGGTTTGTTGGGTCCACGCCTTGCCTAATTTTGATGATAACAAATAAGTGAAGTCAAATTATCTATTTTTTGAAAAGTTATTGCAGAACTTAATTTGTGATTAATCATGATGAAGAGAATGCAATACAATTGCCATAAAATCGAGAAGATCAAAATTGTAAGATAAAATCTTAGATTTCATGTAATGGTTGGATGAGGTAAATTATGATCATGGGTTAGAAAATTTAATTTTTTTTATATTTTTAATCCAAACATATTATTAAGATTTGACTTTTGATTTGAAAAAGAAATAATTGATTTGAGATTAATTTTTTTTAAATTATTTGAATTCATCTAATTTTTGGAAAGTCAATATTTGGAAAGTTAATTTGAAGATTTTAATTTTATTTTCAAAAAAATATTTGAAAAACTTTCTTAAAAATCATGATAATCTTAAGATTTTTTCTTAGTATTGATTTCGAGAAAAAGCCCATAGAATCATACCATGAGTTTTTCTTCAATAGAAAAAGTGTGTGTGACCATTTAATAGAAAAAGTGTGAGTGAGCATTCAATAGAAAAAGACATGAGCAGATTTCTTCAGTCCACCACTTAGATTTTATTTATACTTATTTGATTATTATTTAAAAGTGCTAAGGTAATCAATTTTAAATTGGATTTTCTTCTTAGAGTTCCGGAAATCCCGATAAAGTTTCTGGTTAATTCTTGTAGGGATAGGATATTGTGACCACTCAAGTTATGTTACACCCATGTGATACCCAGTCAATCTCACCGTTAGATCGCTTATGTTGATCCAACGGTTATATTTATTTCCAATTCTGTATGGTCATAATTTCCCAAATTTAAAGTGAAAGCATTAAATATGGGAAATCATAACCATACAAAGGTAGAAATAAATATAAAATATTAAATTTGGGAAATCATGACCATACAAAGATGAAAATAAATATAATCGTTGGATCAACATAAGCAATCTAACGGTGAGATTGACTGGGTGTCACATGGGTGTAACATAACTTGGGTATCACAATATCCTATCCCATTCTTGTATAAGGATAGAATATGATCTATTCTTGTACTTTGAATTGATCCTCCCAATTATCACCTTTAGGAGGGTTTAAAACCTTAATCTTAGATCAGTCTTGAAACAGATTAGTCGCAAAGCGATGAACCGATTGAAATATTTTCAAGAAAAAAAAAAGAATGATCAATAGTAGATTTGTATCCAAATTGGATAGAGGTATCCAAATTGGGATCATGAGTTTTTTTTTCCTTGTTAAAAAAATTACGATAATTACTTTTTTTTGTACAGAAATTTACGTTGATTCTCAATCAAACATATTTCATAACAATAATCTTGCATATGAAAAATGGTAAAAGGCTTATTTGTACTTACTCTAGTTTATTTAGATTAAATTATTTTATATTGAAAATAGTTTACAATTAAAATTTTATTAAAACACTTTTTTAAAATATATATTTTAAAAGCATAATTTTTGTGTCATTCAAATCTTTATAAAATGTATAAATTAAAACACAGTTTATGCCATTTTATCATATTACCATGTGTCTCATCTTATCTTGCTTGACTTTTTTTAACATAAATAATTGATACGTTAATAATTGTTAATTAAATTTTTTAAAATTAATTATTATGAAAAACTCAAAGTCTCAATTTTTTTTTCAAAATATTTTTCTGCTATATTATTATCATTATTATTATGAAATCTAAAATTTCTGCCTTAATAGATTGACATTTATTCTATCCTTAAAGAAGTCTAATTGAGAAAAGTTATATATTTAACG